GAATAATTAATTATATTCTTAAGCAAATGTAGTCCAAAGAAGTGTATGCAACAATTGGACAATTAATGAAAAAAGACAGAAAACATTTAAATTAAAAAACCCTACAGAAAAGTTAGTATTCCAAATTAATAACAAATGTAAAGAAATCCTAGCTATTCAAAAAAACGAATTCTAAATGATATTTACAATATGTGCAATTCTATGCAAAATTGAAAATGATTTTTGGTGCAGTTCTTTATTACTATTAATAACTAAAAGTTATGCAAACAGGTAAAACAACTATTCAGAAATCTCATTTCTCTTCAAGATTGAAATTCAAACAATGTAAATTGAAATTATCTTTCTCAAATGATTTTTCACAATGAATGAATACATTTAGCATATTTTTCTCAGATCTTTGTTGTACATTAAATGTATAATAAATCCTAAAAACAGTACAATATACAATTATGATAACATATCTGCCAAATTCCAATCTAAACACATTGTAAATTTAAAGACAAAGATTTTGCCCATCAAAAATGTTGCCAATTATAAAGCGAGAAAAATTCAACTTTATATTTCAAATAAATTTAAAGTATAGAAAATGTTTCAACTACTGCAAGCACACTAAAACAGGACACACACATAAAACAGATAAGCAGCAGTCAGAATTCCACAATACTTAAATAATATAATCTAATAAAATAAAATAGAATCACCAGAGAAAAACAGAAGAAAAGAAAATCTACACCATGAAATATTTTATAGTGAAAGTTACATACTTATAACCCTAAATTATTGAATTTTATGCCTGTACCACTCTACCATTTAACTTTTATATAGACCTTAGCACTGCAATAAAATTGCTAAGAAAACAATATTCTTGAGCACAGCCACAATAAATTTTAAACTTATAATTACTGCAATATTTCATTGGCCACATAGTAACACAATTATCAATCACAGAAAATAATTGGGTCCTTCTTAAAGAGCTAAACACATGCCATTAGTTTATATGAATAATTACAATGTGCATATTATGAGATATACACCATCAGTATCAATGAACCGAAATCGAAGTTTGAATTTCCAGATATAATATGATAGTAACGTATAATCAAAAACAATGCAAAATGCACCACACACACAATGCCAGGGCACAATAACCAAAATACATAATATCATAACCACACTTACCACGTTCTCCGGTCAATACACTTCATTTTACGATGTTCTTACAATATCAATATATTTCATTACTGCAATGATTCTAGTAAAATTTGATCACTTCAATAAAAAATGTAGAATATGTACTAGCCGGTATCTCGGGTTTGAACTGTCACAAGCTGACTTCATTGCAAGCATCACACAGACATTTCAAATAACATCATTTCACAATATATTTTCAGTGTATATTCAGAATATACCCATGAAATTTCTTCATTTTTTGTACAACTCAATACAATTTTCATAAATCGTTCTTCAGAAAACACACACGGACATATCTCCCGCACAACGGAAAACAAGAATAAAATGTTTGCGCTGTTTGATACTCTCTGGAATTGTACTTACCAACGTGAAAAACACTAAAAAGAAAGATTCTCTCTTATATTTAAAAATAGATTTTTCCCCAATTTGTGAAAGATCATTTTAAATAATAAAATAAAAGTTTATGATAAGTATTATTGGACAATGACCAAACATATGTAAATTATTTTATTAGCACTTCTCCATCACGTTGGCTGTAATGGACGCCAGAGATAATCTTGCAAATTTAAAAGTTAAGGCGGGTATTCCAGGTACTTTACAAACATTTCCAAACTTTAGTCAAGAAATCAGCTAGACCTTGGCCACCTTGTGTAAAGTATACATACAGCCAGGTAAAGTGTACATTAGTCACCACGAGGAGGTAAAGTAAGAGAAGCATGTTATGGTGATGAGGATAGCAGATATTATGTGATAAACAAGAATCAGACTGGTGGAATAGCTGGTGTTTTTGTACCTACCTTAACAGGAACCTAGTAGAACATCATGTGCTAATAATATCACTGTAGTTTGCAATAAAAAATTATTTAAAGTTTATTAAGTAAGCAACCGTGTAACATAGGTTATTGAGATGACATTGACCAAAACTTATTAGAGCCCCGAAGTACATGCATTTGAAGTTTCTAAAATGTGCCTTATAGTATGCAGTACAAAAAGCACGGAACAAAAAATATTTGCCCAATTTCGTATTCGAACATAAGCGTTAGAAATATTAGGCAACACCATAAAAGAAGTCCGTCGCCACGACGACTATTGCTCGAAACTAACAAATTTCATAGCTACCATAACCTATGTTGCAGTGGTTCTAACACAGAAACAACCCGAAATATAACGAAATATGAGTACGTAATTAATTTAAATATAAAATATTGAGAAATAGAATGCATTAAGAAATAAAACATCTTTCTTCGTTATTGAAGATGTATGATTGTAGAAATAATTGCACCCTCACAATTATCGTTATTCCAGAGGTGTTAATAAAATTGGGCATTTGCTAGGTGAATATTGTCTAGGTGAATTTCGTTCTGTTTGAGCAGAACATTTGGAACTGACTGAGAAAATATTGTTTATTTACTTTTTAAATGATTATCATAAAAACATTTATACGTGATTCGTAAAGTTCCGTTTAAATAATTATTGTTCTGTTTGTGATTAATTCATTGCGTTCCGTTCAAAGCAAGTTCCATACGACAGTTCGTCACAGTCATACGCGTGAAGTCCTTGTAAAAATGTATATCAAATTATGAAGAGAGAAGGAAGTGTTAAAAATGTCAAAGCAGATCTTGGTTGATTCTAAAGCAGTGTTTCGAAAATATCTATTTGCAGAATTAATATGAAAATAAATTCTATTGCATCGGGAGAATCGTGTTCATATTCAACTCCGAATAAAGAGAACAAGAAAGAACCAGAACCTGATCTTGACGGTTCCCCTTTAACGATATTTTATGTGATATTATAACTTTATTATGAGTCTTGTTAAATATAACGCAAAAGGTTTAATATTAGAGGAGAAATTAATCTTGGTTTTCTGAAAATAAGATTTTTAGCTATGATAGAAAGGTCTTGATCAATCAGACGTAGATATTAAAAAATTTCTTTATTACTGTCATCCAACAAAAAAGATTCAATATTAAAGTTTTGTATTTAGCGTCACGCTAAATTTGTGGTTATATGCATTCAAAGCAAATTATATTATCAGCCCTACAAGCAATTATAATACTGGCATCCAAATCAAATATGTATGTCTAATTTGTTTTAGGGTCGCATTGTTGTCATACATCGACGACAAACATTTCTAAAATGATGTAACTTTAACTGTATTAAATCTTTTCTCGCAATTGCTCTTTCAATTTACGCGCTATGGTTCGAATTGCGCAATCTCATTGGCGGTCCCCACTCCTAGAATGAGTCTTATCCTCATCCATCCTCGCGGCTCAGGTTTGCACTCATGTTTCTCGTGCGCGGTTCTCTGGGTCAGTGATGGTCCAAAATGCTGTGCAGGCCTGGTCTGAGGCAAAAATCTCTATACTTAATTTTGTAGTTTTCAAATGTAAACTTTTTGCAATTTTCGAAAAAAAAGAAACGGAGTTTGCCGAAAATAAGGCTAGCATCATATTTTTTTTACCGTCCCTTCATATATTTATAAGTTGAAAATTTAAATAAAAAATACGGAGCAGTTTTTGAGAAAAAAATGTTTAGAAAATTAAATAGCGTATATTTCGCACAAAATGAAACGAAAACTACTCAAATTTTCGAATAATTGAACATGATCTGTCTTTAAAAAAGAATGATTTCATCAAGGGAAAAAGTCTCATTCCTCAATATTGTACGAGGGTCAGTCAAAAAGTAATGTCTGGTATTTTTTCTTCTTAAATTAAAATTATTTAAATGAAAAATTTGAATTAACTATTTCAAATTTCCTGAAACCTTCATCTACAATCCACCGCAGTAGTAACTTTCTGCGCCATGTGGCAACACAGTAGTAGTTTGAAAAATGGGCGACATCGCTATTCATGAGAGACAGAGTTGTGATATTGTTTTTTTGAAAAACATTGAAAATGTCTTTGAGGTTTCATGTAAGGGCCCCTGCACATGAGCGATGCGATGTCGCGCATCTTAGAATAACACTATTATCGGCACATATTTTCTTGAGCCCTTGCTTCGCTAGTTGCGAGAAAAGTGCTGAGTTTGGTTATTTTCACAAAAGGAATTTTATATCACACTGATTCGTTCGTTTTTCCGTGTAAAATAGTTCCTATTACATGGGAGAGAATATTTCTGGTTATCACATTTTGTCTACAAAGCTCGTTGCTATTATTTATTCTTAATTCGACTAATGTTGGCAAAGGAATGGGGGGGGGGGTAGAACTAGATATTCCGGGGCTCAAGAAAACGTGCTCATATAATGTCCTAGAACGTGTCTATGTATCATTACATGACAACTATCCTTAATGACTTTTGCAGAACGGCCCTCCAGCGCTTTGGCCGTTCCGCATATAATATCGTTAATGTACGACGAGGATTACTTTCCGCACGTCAACGTTTTTTCGATATCAAGGACCCACAAAACAGATTCTGGCTAGACCTGGGCTAGAGCACGGGTTCAAAGTAATTTACTACATGTAATTTATAAGAGGATGTAACCCCTTTTTCGTTAGCAGGGCTGACAATAAGAGATTTTGTGCTGAAAATTCGTCGTTTTCTGGGAAACAATTATATAACTTTCTCTTCTTACGAAATAAGTAAAAAACGTATTTATAAACTTTACACATATTATAGTACAATAAAATTTTATAGTCTTTGAGCCAAAGAATTTCATGCATATTCCTTGGATATTAACATTGCACAATATTCCAACCAATAAATCCTTTGAGTTGCCACTATTTTTTACATATAAGTTTCAATAGGAAACCTATTGATATATATATAGGAGCATTCAAGCATTCTGGAAAAATATGAAATAAAAGACCTTGTAGATAAAAAAGTAATGTATATTCTATACATTTAATAATTATAAATCATAAATATGCACAACACGAAAGTTTCGTCATCCATAACCTTTACGTCAATTGAAGAATAGTACCCTGAGAAACAACATAGTTTATTAAATACTGATAAGTAGATTGATTTAATTGCCCCAAGTACAACACAATATAGTACACCAGAACCTGACATTAAGGACATTAAATTCATCATATTTAGTTATATTATTCAGAGTACACTTCAAATCTGCACATTAAATACAAGCATCACATCCTAATGTGAATACCATTGTTACTGTCCAACAGAAAGAATACACACATCACACAGTACTTCAAAATGAAAGACATCTTGAGAAATAATGTACATAACCCACTAATAAACATATATTTAATGTACATCTATGACATGACTTTACTAATGGGTCAATTGCTTCATTATTTTTAACATTACATATGATACACAACAATTTGTTCAAAACATTGAATGACTATTCGTATTCCAGGAACTGTTTATGGTAGAAAAGAAGATACCTGCAAATCAAAAGAAAACATAAGATTTAAATTCATTTCAAATTTTCAATAACATCAATGCCCTGTAAATTGATCTTTAAAACATACTGTTTATACCTGCAGTAGCTATACTCTGCATTATAATTTTCAAATGACTGAAGAATTTTTTATTTTCCATTGCAATAAATTTACAAAACTGTTTTATTTATCTAACAGTACCAGAAAATGCCACATTATGGTAAACTGTATCAACCACTTTGAAGATAATACTCACGTGCACCTAGAGTTCTCTCACTGAAATTACTTTGCAAAAATCAATTTCCATTACGAGTAACAATCTTTGAAATTTGGAATGAAATGTTTATAGACAACTTCCATTCATACTTGCAATAATAATACAAAATAGTGGTGTTACTGAATGGCACAGACTTTCCCATATTAGTTTTCTATTTCATTTGGTCTCAGCTAGCTACTTGGACTTGCCATATACTCTTGCCAGCTGACATCCATTGCTGCCCAAAGTACACTTTCTTAGTTTTTTGGTTTCCTAATACTAGAATGGAAAATATTCTTTTAAGGATATTAAAGAACAGTAACACCTTGTCCTAATTTACTTTGAAAAATTTGGAGCTGTTTTTGAAAAACTGGTGTTCAAAAAGCGCTACTTTAAATTCAAAATTTACACCTCTTATTCACAGAAAATTTTTGAGTTTTTGAAAATCTTCATTCGAAGTCATTTGAATTAACTCACAAATACAATAGTGTTTACAAATTGCTGAAAATGAGCATATCAACAGCGTAAGAGATCTTTCAAGCAATTTATATTTGTGTAATTTTTGAAAAAACAGAAATATACTCCAACCAAAACTTGATGTCAAATTAAAGAATGCTATTATCACTATCCATTTGAAAACATTTAGGCCGTTTTTGAGAAAATGGTGTTTCAGCTTTTCTGATAATGCGGAAATTGCTGGAAAGGTAAATAATAATGGCATGAGAGATCTTTCAAAGACATTATGTTCTTGCAACTTTTAAAAAAACAAAAAAATTCGCTGAATTGAACTTTATGTCGTATTAAAGAGTGAAATTAGAACTACCAGTTCAAAAAGTTTGATGAAAAAATTGGAGCCTTTTTTGAGAATTTCTAAAAATGCCGAATTTTTATCTAGTTTTTACAGAAAACTGTCGAGTTTTCAAGAAACTTTATTTGACATTATTTAAAGCACATGTACTCATAAATGTATCAGGGGACCCCAAAACTTGTATTTCTGTTGAAATCTCGAAATCTATTTTCCATCGCTTTACATAACTTTTCCCTATACTACGTATAATATTCTGTATATACGGACATATATGAGAAAGTAATTACTCTCAAATCTATGACTTAATTCTACATTTTGACAATCATTAGAGTTCTCAATTTTTTATTTTTTTTTTAATTTAAAAATTTGGATATTTACCCCTCACTATCTAACACTTCCTGGATATTCGCTTTTGTTATAAGATGATCATCACATTTAAACCAATGATTTTGTTGCTGGCGAATAAAAGCAGTGTAATGTCCTCCATCTAAAGTTCCCAGATGATTTATCACAGCAAAAAGAGAATACCTAGAAACAATGTTTAGAAAACAATTAATAAGAGTTAAGGTAAAAATATTAATAAATCTTTTGATATTTAGTGTTATTCAAAAATTGACCACCTAAAATATTAGGAAAAATTCCTCACTTCAATATCCTTGTTTCCTCAATCAGGGAAAAGAATAACATAAATTAAGAATAAGACATTGACTATTGAAATGTAGAATTTTAACACACATTAATTTCTTTTTCTCACAGTTCCCAAGAAATGCCTCTAACTTTGAAAATTTGAAACAGAGCCTTATCAAATTTAATTCAATTAATACTACTTTAGATTCAGAAAAACATTATACAAAAATTCCAGTAAGCTTAAAAAGAAAAAAAAAATCTTATTAACACACCTGTTATCAGGCAGTAAGTTGAATGTATTTCCACAATGACCGTTATTCATGTTCCGATAATGTGACATAAAAGGTGTCATATCCAAATGTTCTGGAAATGCTACATATGTGGAAATCTTGTGGAAGCGACTGGAATGTTTGAACCTCTGAAAAATATGGACTTAATGTAAGATTGTATAATTAAAAATATTATATTGAATGATATTTACTCTGAATAATAATATAAAAAAATAAGCAGAATCAAAAATAAAACAGTGAATAAATCAAGAACAAAACATAGTCCAAGCATTCTCAAAATAAAATTTCAGTTAAGTGTGAACCACTGGCCAGATTCCTTAACTATGCTCCATGAAGTCACAGAGGTTAAGCGTATCCGAGACATAATAAGATCCTGGTTAGGTGACCAGAACCCCAGGGTCTAAGCCCCTGTCCGAAGGGATAAAAGGTAATGACTGACTTTGACCAGGGGCGCCCAGAGAAAACTAGGGGCCTGGGTCAGTACTGTTGATCCACGAGGTCCCTTCATTTCAAACAAAAAATTCCCTCTTCCCACAATAAACAATAAATTTCAATGTGCATCAGAAATAACTTGTAGCATTAAATTTGAATTAGAGATAAATATATTTTTGAAATTTCTTTTGAAAAAAAAATACAATTGGAGACCTCAATTAAGTCAAGGACCCCCCTTCTGGTTGCCCCGTCTATGACTGACTAAATTAAAGAAGGATTACTCCTAAAACGTTCAACACCAGTAGGTGGCTGTAAACAGGGTATTGGAAATGTTGTTACAAATTTTAACAGAACATCAACTCTACATTGAAAAATGACATCAGTACATTTACATTCAATCTTTTTTTAATGTAGATATCTTTTATTCATATTCATTTTAACTTACCTTCAAATGGAAGCTAGCAACAACTGGCAGTTTTTTCATTGTCAGTTGTTTAGTTGATTCTTGATAACTTTGACAATTGCTACACTTAATTTTAGCACTTGAGCCAAGATGTTCTGGACGTGTAAACCTTGTCAAACAATCAATAAGTGAAGTAGGTTCCTGTTCATTTGATTTTTGACTTGATTCACTCGACTTCTGCCCAGAATCATTAGACTCTGATGACGATGTTGGAATGTCAGTAGCAAGGTCCAATGATATGTCCCAGAATGGATCTATTGTTGTGGATACTCCACTGTAAATTGCAAACCAATATATCATAGATTCACAGTAAACATTTCATACTAAAAATACACGCTTCAAATCTATAACTTTAATACTTGTGTGCAGCTAGAGTTCTCTCTCTGAAATTATTTTGCAAATCTCTGTTTTCATTATTAGTTACAGCAAATGATCTTTGAAGTTTTCAATGAAATTTTATATGTAGCTTCATCATCATACCAAAATACCATAAAAAAATTAAATTTTAATAGTAAATTACTTCTAATTGAGTTAATCCACTGAATCAATTGTAATGAAATCATATAACTGATTCTGAAATTGATAACAGGGACTCACTTGCATGCTTGGCATACAACATCTGACTGTAACCCTCCCGTAAAGATCTGGTCAATTATGCAGTTACAATGTTCTGGACTACTATGGGTATGAGCACTAGATCCCTTGCAATGACGATGTAGGACATTCAGGGTAGCAATAAAGAATTCATGAGCATCCTGCTGTTCATATCCAGCAAGATGATGAGCATGTGTCCAAATCATGTGAAGCAAACGGTGCAGGATCAATGGTGCTTTGTTTCCAGAATAGAACTATTAACACACACAAATACTTCTTATTAGTTACATAATATTTAGGGAAATAAAATTCCCAAAAGTACGCTTTTGGTTGAAGATTTAAATATTTTTACAAAAGAGGTGTATATTACTTACCTCTTGGAATAGCCTAGAGACTTCACACACAAGACAACTCCCAGGTTGATCTCTAAACTGACACTGATGTTTATCAGCTAGGAAGAAATCTCGTAAGAGGGGTGTATGGGTCAATGCTTGTACAATGCAATTCATGAAACATGTATTGCCGAGGTTGATAAGTCCACGTAACCCTAATGAATACATTTTCATAATGCATTAATGGATATGAAAGTTTTGTAGAAAACTTAATGTGATGCACAAATACCTGAAGTTATGATTGAGAAGAACTTATACCAAAATAATGCATCTGATATAAACTTACCAATTGTAGAGTTTTCAATAACCCGTCTTCTTCGTGGATGTAACCTAAGGAGTTCAATTTCATTTGCAGAAGGTTCCCAGGAACGATATGATATAGGTAAACCTAGAGCTTTTGAAGCTTTAGCATCACGTTCATTAGCAATATCTGTCAGTTCTCTGTCATAAATGTAATCTCCACATTGGAAGCACATAACCATTCCGTAGGTTAACTCAACCGCTGGAAATAACACAGGACATTTTTTGAACATTAATATAATTTTAAAAAATTATAATTAAAAACGAAACAGATAATATACATTGTACGAATTGTATTTATAATAGTATATCAATTTGTAAACAAACTACTAACCAATTCGATCAATCAAAATAAAATTAAGAAAAAGTATAAAGATTGTGATGAAATGCTAACCCAGGAAATGTTTCTTTGATTTGGCATGTTCTTGTATGTGTCCACTGACAAAGCATCCAAAAAATATGCAATGAAGGCACGAATGCAAACGCGGACCCAGACATCGACATATATAGCAATAGCAGGAAAATGCCTGTAAAAGAAATTTTTATCAATAAAAATTAACAAAAACCACCATCTACTACCATTTTTTATACACAAAAAACAACAAGACACACCTTTCTTTTCCTTGCTTCAGTCGAAGTGCAAGCTACAAAATACGCGTATATTACTTTGTATGGTTGCGTGCCCTTGGCTGCTTTGAAATTGCTTAAATGTATACATCCATGTTCGCTCATTTCAATTGACAGAAAGCTGAAATTTTAGTGAATGGCACAGATTAGTAAGCAATGAGTACGAAACCTACAAATTATCTCGACGCAATTCACGTCTGAGAACATTAAGCGTCGATAAACTAGTAACACCACCCAACGGGCTGCCCCGGCGATCTCGGCCATAGGCCGTCGTCCCGCATTGTCTGAACGGGCGGTGGATCGTGGGCACGAGGCGAGACAAACTAAGATGCAAGATATATTACAATATAGCTTATAACGCGGTTTTAAATCTTTCGTGTTACATATATGTGCATTTCGGAAGAAAAATGTCTTTGAACATAGTTACATGTTAAAAGCGGTCTTTCGTCCTTTTAAAGACGCGTTTGATAATTTGTTCCCAACAAACATTACATTACCTTCAACATTTGTGCAAAGTAAAACACAAATCACATCAAAATTATATTTAAGGAAATTTTAACAATGTGTTGCAACTATTAGAATAATAGCATTCATTTATAATAGTCAGAATAATGAACTACTTTGCTACACGTAGCAATATTATAAGTTAAGATAAATCCTCCCTTTTGTGGTACTATAGTAACGTGTAATAAGTTACATCTACCTGATCCCTTTTCCTTTAATCTTCGAACATTTACGATGAGCAGTTCTGTGTGAATTTCCTTAAATGTAAAGTTATTATAAGACATACTGATAGTTATTATATTTCTATCACCATGGAAACAAAAAAACAAACAAACAATACCGGTATCTACAAAATTTGTTTGTATCATAAAGAGTATTGTATTTAATCATTATTTTTTACTCGTGAAGATACTTTTCTCTATAAATAGGTGTATTAAATCCATTTTAACAGAAATATTTTGAAATAATACCCTTTTATTTTTGATAAATGAATTTTTTTTCTCTTCAAAATCTGTTCACTGTATATTATTTCTTTAACCAATGAAGTATTTGAAATGATCAACATCTGTTAAATATATTTTTTATTTCCTCTTTTGTACATTGATCTTTCTCATGTTTTTCTGACCTTTCACTTCTGTTTGGGAAGAAGCAAAACTGATTTCATATGAACTATTTACCAATTTCAAAGAGAGTGTATCTATTGCATCATTTTATTTCTCTAGACCTAAATACAATATTGATATTTGAGAATGTCCCTTCTTAGCCATATTTTTACTTCAGAAACCATTAGAATTTACAAAATTTGTGGGAGGGTAAAAGAGCATGCTACAGACAAATCAATTTTCTCAATACAATGAAATTCATTAATTAATTTGGCCAAAAGATGCAGAACAATGAAAGTTTAGAACTTTTAAATAATAAAATACTACAAAAGAAGCATTTTTGTTTCTGAATTTTCATTTGTAAATATTATAGAATTATATAAAATGACAGAATATAGTGTAAGTGATTATTAAGTGTAGAAATACTTCAAAACATATCAATCCAATTCAAGTAGCTAATTGGCTTTATATACTCTAGATTGTACATTGATGTCTGAAAAATATTTTGACAACATTCTTTAATTACATGTTTACAAAATACTAAATGTTGAAATTTGCTATTTACTTTTCAGTAACTTTTATTAACTTTATAACAAACTTTTTTATGGTAAGTTTGCACTCTAGGACACTTACTTAAAAATTCTCATTGACCTCAGTAAGTGCCATGAATGTTTTGCAAGAGATAGGTACCTAATTTTGTTTTTGTTTTTTTATTTGTTGTCACTAGTAAATTGAAATTACTTAAGCCTCTTAACTGCCATATACATAAAAAACTATTGTGTAAAATTTACTAATGTTTCAAAAGATAATTTTAGAACTTTCAAAGCATACTTTGACATGATTTGTTAAAAGGTATTCTAAGTGTAAACATGAGAATAGCGCTTTGAAAAGTATTGATGTAATCGTTTGTCAGTAACTTTTATCTCTTTAAATTATCATTATAAAATGTATGAACAGAAAGAAAAGGATAACAATACATGTATTCAGTGTAGCTATTTAGATCAGATATAATTTACTTGGGACATCATTACAACTAACATAAAAATCTTTAAACTAAAAACTAGTTTTTAGGAAAGTTAATGAAATAAAGTATTTTTCTTTAACATAAGTACATAAAGTCTTTTTTTAATCATTTGTTTACAAGTTGTTATCAAAAAATCTGACATTTTTCAAATAAGTTCTTTGTAGCTAGAATATCCCACTAAGGTAGATAGAAAAACATCCAAAGTCCAAAATAGTACAACATAACTTTTTGATAGTTCTATCGATATAAAGTGTCCACAGGGAAATCAAACTACAAATTTAACCTGTCTAAGTTGCATTCGTGTAGTACGTCAAAAAAATAATAAAACAAAGAATAGCAAACCAGCATTTTGCAGAACATACATTAACATAGCTTTAATTTTTTTCTATAAACAGGACCGAATTATCTTAAAATGAAACTGAAGATACTAGGGAAAATTTATTCAGGTACTTTTTGATAAAAAAACATGAAACCATTCACTTATATTTAAACATTTTCTGAAAATACGATTTTAACATAACACAGTTTTTAAATTGAAACCCTTTTTCTAATTCAAAGAATGTTCTAAATCTTTTTTATATGATTATCAGGTGGAAATTTGAACTATACATTACGTTTCAATCCAAGTTCGAAAAAAGTAACTAAAGTTTGCCCAAACAAACCTGTGCAGATTTTTCTTCTTCCTCATATGCCACATAAAGTTTTTGAAAATAAGTACATCAAATAAAATTAAAATCAAATAATATTTTTTAAGGAAATAATTTAAAATAGAAAAATAATAAAAATAATCATTAGAATCATATTATCTGTTCTTGGAAATAGCAAATTTTTTTAAAATCGTATTTATTTTATAGTAAGTCACATTTCAATTGTTTACATGCCTCAGTGCAGGCGAGAAACTGGGACTTTATGGTACAATAATAAAATCTTATACCAACTTATAGACGTGGAAATTTGTTACCAACATTTCTGATTTTTTTTATTAATATAAGACCAAGATCAACGATGCAGCTGATAACAATAATGAGAAGGACACTTACAAACATTCATGAAAAACGTAGATGGTACCTTATAATGGCAAAGTTGGAGAACATATTTCTTTCTTTGGATTATTTCGTTTTGTGTTTCAATTGTGTTGCCTGATATCCAACTGACTCTCTCTAAAGAAATATGGTCAATTTATAAAATTGGGAAGGCGCATGTTACATTCAGCAAATAACATGGATTTAATCATGGAATATTTTGACAATTGGGAAATGGTATTCAATTTCTTGGACGTAAAAATTACTATTATTTGTTACCAAATACATTACAATATCATGTATCTGTAATGGGAATGACTATACTCGAACATCCTCATTAACCATATTAATATTATTTGTATTACAGGAACATTTTTAATTTTTTTCTCTATAACTTTCTTTCGATTTCTGAGATATTAATTGTTCAATTGATTCATTGGAGTCATCCATTATAGGTTTCCGAAGCATCTCTCTATTTTTAAATTCCGTTTTAAAATGTTCAGAGCACAGTAATTAATTCGCAGATATCAATGTTTCAGGATGCGGTGGCCCAGTTGGCAATTCTTTATTGGTACTCGTATATCGTGAAATATTGGAATATGAAATTAAAATAAAAGTAAGGAAATGCGGCATAGCATAAAACAAAAAAACATATTACTACACAGGGCGGAAATGTTACATTCTCGTTCGACATTCCAGCTTCAGGTCCTAACGGTACCTCGACTGCTAACAACACACTCGTAATCAGTGGCGTAACTACCGCCAGCCGGGCGAGAGCAAATACGTGGAACCCCTAAAACAATTTTTTGGTCTAACAACATACGCACCTTCTGAAAATGATTTCTTTATTATAAATCGACTAGTGAAAATTTGAATTACATATTTTTGTATGGCGACGCGAAGATGTTTCACATGTCTGTAATTTGACATAGTACCGGGGCCCCAGTTATTTATTGATTCATTTAAAGTTAGGCTGAGCCCAGAAGCGTCTGTGTCCTACAGCAGGGGCCAGCAGAAGAGATTTTCTTTTGGCGATTCGGATCAGATATGCTGATGTTCTGCAAGCTTTATCAAAAATACTAATGTTAACAAGCAAAAGTGCGTCTAAGCAAACAGATGCGTTGAAAAAAGAAATGGAGACGTTCGAGGTTTTTTTCCAAGTTGTATTGCATGTATTGCATTAAAAAAAATTGATGCCGACTAATGTGTATCAAAAATTTGATTTTGATCTTTGCCAAGCACGGGATGTGACTGAAGCAGCGCGCAAGGATCTAAAATATTTTAGAGGTGACTGTGACAAAGCCAAATCCGATGCAATTGAGTTGTCTACATCCTGAGGCGAAAAAAGGCGAGTTTTGAAAGAAAGGTGTTAAAAAAAACAACGAAAAGTCATTTGATGAATTGTGCGAAGATCAACGTTTATCTGACGGCGAAAAATGATTCAAAATCAATGTTTACTTCGCTTGTTTAGACATTGTAATTATTCAGCTGAGCCATCGATTTATTGGCTTAAATCAATTAACGATTCGTTTGCGATTATTCAGCCACAAACTTCGTTGCAGCCTTCAAATGAAGAAATGGCGAATCAATGCGAAATATTCAGTGAGCACTACTATGACGACATAACTGATCAATTGAACACCCAGTTATTATTCTTGCGTAGTTATCTGAGAGATCGAATTTCGAAGATTCATTCAGAGTGTTCGCTACTTTGGTCCTGACTTCAGCTCTTACAGCTAGCTTTCCAGACGTCTCATCAGTAATCTCACCGTTTCTAACAATTCCCGTGACGGTTGCGACTGCAGAGCGATCTATCAAAATTAAAAATTATCAAAAATTAACTACGAACTTCGATGGAACAGGAGAGCCTGATGGTATATTGACAATTGTAACTACAAGTAACGCGACGAACTCGTTGAAAGGTAAACCTCGGCGACGTTGTAGATGAGTTTGTCAAAGTGAAAGTCCGCAGGGCTCGATTCTAAATTTGGTGATTCATTATAATTAAAAAAGTTTCTTTCGATTAGTTTTCAGAACGCGTATTTTTTGAACAACATTTTTGAGGAGGTGGGCAATTTAGTTTTTGAACCGGGACTCCGGAAGGGCTAGTTACGCTCGTAATGTAACATTTTCCGTCTTTATGATTTAAAATACTATTGCGATATATCAGCCAGGGATT